AACTTATAATTATGAATATGTGACCATTAATCACAAACTGTGACTTTATTATCTTTATTTAATAAATATTTTTCATTAATTAAAGTCATACCTGATTTTTGAATTTTCAAACTATTTACCTTACTTTTAAATTGTGGTAAAGAATACACCTTAGATATGAATTTTTCCCTAATAGCAATGTAAAATGTAGCTTTTCTTAAAAGAGTTCTGAAATTTTGTAATAAATTGCTGGGTTCATGGACTGCTCGAATTGGCCCATAAGGTTTACAAACCCAATGGTCAAGCCCATATCTAGCCCGCTACATATAGCTACCCTAGGCCATAAGATCTGGGCTCAACTGAGTCATTGGGACCCAATTGAGGAAAAGCCTCTTAAAAAGGGGTCTAACTTAATCGGATCATAATCAATTTGGGTCTTGGGTCAGAACAGTCGGGGTTCCCGCGCTCTTGAGAACTTTCTAGTTGGGGCCAAATCAGCGTAATTATATTTTTCTCGATCTCTCTTTCGATTTCTACGTGCAACACTGCGTGTTCATTCTCTCGAATCCTCTACATACTTCAACACTCTATCACCACCCACCCCCAATCCCAACCTATATATATACACCACTACATCTCTACATTCATCATCAAGACATTCTCTCGAAGCAAACAAAATAAAGTACACAAGCCAAAGCCAACAAATATTGTTCTTGTTTTAGCGAAGTAATCCATTCAAGAACCCACAAAATATCTTGTTTTAGTTTGGTAAATTCTTTGTTAGTGATGGCAAAAACAGAGGGCAAGGCTATTGGTATTGATCTTGGCACAACATATAGTTGTGTTGGAGTGTGGCAAAATGATCGAGTCGAAATAATTCCCAATGATCAAGGCAATAGAACAACACCATCCTATGTTGCATTCACAGATACTGAGAGGCTTATAGGTGATGCAGCCAAGAATCAAGTGGCTATGAACCCACAAAACACCGTTTTCGACGCGAAACGCCTCATTGGTCGAAGATTCTCCGATCCTTCTGTACAGAATGATATGAAGCTCTGGCCGTTTAAGGTGATTCCGGGACCTGGTGACAAGCCTATGATTGTGGTTGATTACAAGGGCGAAAAGAAACAGTTCGCTGCCGAGGAGATATCGTCGATGGTTTTGACTAAGATGAAGGAAATTGCTGAGACTTTCTTGGGGCAAACAGTGAAGAATGCAGTGGTGACTGTGCCTGCTTATTTTAACGATTCGCAGAGGCAGGCCACGAAGGATGCTGGGGCTATTGCTGGGCTCAATGTGATGAGGATTATAAATGAACCTACTGCTGCAGCTATAGCTTATGGATTGGACAAGAAGGCGTCGAGGACTGGTGAAAAGAATGTGTTGATTTTCGATCTTGGAGGTGGGACTTTTGATGTTTCGCTTTTGACGATAGAGGAAGGGATTTTTGAGGTGAAGGCCACTGCTGGGGACACTCATTTGGGTGGTGAAGATTTCGACAATCGGCTGGTAAATCACTTTGCGGCCGAGTTCAAAAGGAAGCACAAGAAGGATATAAGTGGCAATGCCAGGGCGTTGAGGAGGTTAAGGACAGCTTGTGAGAGGGCAAAGAGGACTTTGTCTTCAACTACGCAGACGACGATAGAGATTGATTCTTTGTACGAGGGTATTGATTTCTATGCCCCAATCACGAGGGCGAGATTTGAGGAGCTGAACATGGATTTGTTCAGGAGATGTATGGAGCCTGTGGAGAAATGTATAAGGGATTCCAAGATTGATAAGAGCCAAGTGCATGACGTGGTGCTTGTTGGAGGTTCGACGAGGATTCCAAAAGTGCAGCAGCTCTTGCAAGATTTTTTCAATGGGAAGGAGCTTTGCAAGAGTATTAATCCGGACGAGGCTGTGGCTTATGGAGCTGCAGTTCAGGCCGCAATTCTATGCGGTGAAGGCAATGAGAAGGTTCAAGATTTACTGCTGCTTGATGTTACACCTCTCAGTCTTGGTATTGAGACTGCTGGTGGTGTGATGACAGTTTTGATTCCAAGAAACACGACGATTCCTGCCAAGAAAGAGCAAATCTTCTCGACCTACTCTGACAATCAGCCCGGTGTGCTCATTCAGGTTTATGAAGGAGAGAGGCCTATGACAAAAGATAACAATCTTCTGGGGACCTTTGAGCTCAAAGGTATACCACCAGCACCAAGAGGTGTGCCACAGATCAATGTCTGTTTTGACATTGATGCGAATGGTATTTTGAATGTATCGGCTGAGGACAAGACTGCTGGTGTAAAGAACAAGATTACAATTACAAACGACAAGGGAAGACTGAGCAAGGAAGAGATTGAGAGGATGGTTCAGGAGGCTGAGAAGTACAAGGCTGAAGATGAAACCGTGAAGCAGAAGGTGGAGGCGAAGAATGCATTGGAGAATTATGCGTATAACATGAGGAATACTATAAAGGATGAGAAAATCGGAGGGAAGTTGGATCCCTCTGATAAGAAGAAAATTGAGAAGGCAATCGATGAGGCTATTGATTGGTTGGACCGGAACCAGTTGGCTGAAGTGGATGAACTCGAGGACAAATTGAAGGAATTAGAGGGTTTGTGCAATCCCATTATTTCTAAGATGTACCAGGGTGCTGGTGGAGATGTGCCAATGGGCAGTGGTGCTGACATGCCGGGAGCTGGTTATGGCAATGCTAGCTCTGGCAACGCCGGTGCTGGGCCCAAGATTGAGGAAGTTGACTAAAATGTGAAAGGCTGAAAAGGGTTCTGTTCTATGACATGTTCTGTTATGTTTTGCTTTGTTTTAATTCATGTTGGAGTGACTTCATGAACTAGTAGCTATACATGTTCTTGAGACGTATCCTATCGCATGCTGTAAACAATACATCTTTTTGATATAATAAACATCATATATTCACGTTAGTGTAGATTGATGTACCAAAGATGTCATCGCCCTAGATAGATAACTATATTACAGGGTTTTTACAAGTGTCTGTGTTCTTTGATTTCGTCCCAATATCACAACTAATAAGGTCTGCAAGTTTCAGATCTAAGTAATATTTGATCAGATAGTTTAATGTATAGATTGGTAAGAGTATGGATAGCCTATAGAGCTATTTATGACCACCCTTACATCTTACTCTCTAGGAATCAGCTTTCTTGGCTATAGTATTTTCATTTGAAAGTAGTGTCTCGTATCTTCAGCAGTATTGGAAGTTCATGGTATAGAATTCTGTAAAATTCTGCAAACAAGAACGATATCCGTGACTGTATTTCATCATTGCAACATAAAAGGAAAACTATTGCAGCAGGTAATGAGGCATTTTGCAGCTGCTTTCTGTTCGTCTAAGCCACGGTCTAATTCTGATCGAGATCTATGGCAAGGCACTTCAAAGAAACATATCTAAGGACTTGGCAAAATGATCCCACAACATCGGAAAAAAGGGTGCTCTGTCTTTTGATTAGAAAAGTGTCACATATTAGGGCTAACTGTTTATTGAAAATACGAGACTGGGAAGAGGTAACATGTCTAGCACTTGCTCGGTGCTAAGAGGTCAGAGGAGAAGAGTTAATTTGCTTTGAATGGAAAGTTTAGTAAAACGGAAGCAATAAATCTAAGTGTCCTAAGGTAGAAAAATCTATGTTTGTTTAAGTAGCGAACTTGCAGGAATGGTGTAAAGACTTCCCCTCTGTGTCTGACCCATTGAAATCGAATTCTGTGAAGATGTGAAGTACCCACAGACAAACTACATAAAACTGAAACGTAGTTTGGACAGTGTCAAAAGTTCTTCCAAGGAACCTTTTCCTTCCACCTGAATGTTAGGTCTCCAGGAGTTAGTAACCAGCAGTGTAGGATAATCACGAATAGAATCCAACATTACATTTGTGGCTGTCAAGGCTTCAACCGCCGTCCGCCAAAGTGGGTTGCCATCAGCCTTCAGTCGTGATACATGACTCAGTTAACTGCAACCCATCCTGCACTAGCATTAGTCAATCTGAGTGCTCTCTACACTTTATACAATCATTCATCAAAATCATCAAAATCATTTTGTCCTGCGCAATTTCTTATTCATTGCAATCATTCTTCAAATTCACCAAAATCATTTTGTCCTACGCAATTTCTTAATCACCTTCCATAGAGCTGAATTTTAAAAGTCAATTACTCGACACAATCCCAACTTTTGGACATCAAAGATTAACACAGACACCTGAAGTGGGGTGGGTCAGGGCCTTACAAGGATTTTTATTACTGTAAGTTGCATCTTTATAATAACAATTTATATCATACAGCTCATAAAAAGCATGTGTCGATGGGTTTATAAGCACTTTGGACACCATTCATCTTATCAGGCGATTTTAAGGGTGATTTCTATTCAAACTTTGGACACCTTCCCTTAAGAACCGAGATGAAGGGTGATTTCTATTCAAAGTAGTTGTTAAGGTTCAAAGAGAATCTACTGCCTGATTATACAAAAGAGTGAAAATTAAAAGGCAAGTTCTTTTAGGACTCAATATTGATAGTTACTTTGTCAAGGATACATACCAATACACGAAATATGGAATGCCACTTCCCATTAAAGTATCTTTCCATCCATTTTTATAAGAAGCATAGAGATTCCCGTGAATTCATCATCGAAAATGCAAAAACCTAAATTTATCATCTTTCTATTAAATAGCGCCGTGTAAAATGCCTGGTTAAAAGTCCGGTATAGAATAGTCTGTGGCGAACTTTTTTTCTTCCCGATCCAATATTTGGTCTCGAAGGTCTTCATTTCCGTGTATTCTAGTGGATGATTCATGAATAAGGATGATGACAAATAAAAATATTAAAATTCTTTGAAAAATGGAAAGATATCTCCATTTTATATTTGCTTGACAGATAGGCCATTCAAAAAGGAGACTAATAAAACATCAATAAACAATTGCTTTAGCAAAGTGCTTGGGGGTATTTAGGCCAATTAAATGCAGAAAATCATTATTTAATTGAAAGAGATCACGCCTCACCAGATTCAAAGTCGAAAAAAATGAAAAATTACAACCAATCACTTAGAATGATCAACTTTAAAACTTAAACCTAGGTCTCGAGTTGTTCTCTTCATTTGGACAGCTTTGAGGAAGAGAAATTGCAGCAACAAATGTTTAGCACAACATAATCTTGCATGCTTTCTGGATTTTGTTAAATGCCAAAAAGACATAATTTGGATAATGGGATTTTTTTATTCATTGATCTAGGCTTGAACGACCAAGACAAATCATTAAACATAAATGTCAACTATATCAATTTCAGCAGCCAGCCTCATAAGTATGTTAAAAAACATAAATATATCAACTGTTTCTCCACTCAACTTCAGGAAGAATAGTAATCATATACTACTAAGTACTAGAAGCAGTTGTCCTCCCAATGGGTGTTCATTTGAGTTGAATATCTACTCATTCCTCTCCTCAACATAGAATAAGGAAGGAAGGATTGTTTAGTCCCTCCACAAATCATGCCGCAATTGAATTTTCCATATCCAAAAATCTCTTTCCATCTCCACCCATGACCACAAATAAAAAGTCAATCGTGCTAGCGGACCACCACATAAAAGCTTCAAACTTATCTTTTTAATGCTCGAATATGTAATACACTGGTGTAATATGTTGATCCACGGATCTTTTAGAGATCATCATCGACCATTGCTTCTCCAGCATGTCCTTCAAGATAACCATACTCGTTTTACTGATACAACATTCTGTTACATGTTTCGGAGAAGCGTTTTCCAGTCATCATCTGCATCCACAACACAATTTACACACAGACAAAGCTACACTCCTGGAGTTCAAGAAGAACATATTATCTGACCCACATTCAAAACTTGCTAACTGGGATGAGAAAACTCACGTGTGCAACTTCACGGGTGTAAAATGTGACAAACTGCATCATCGTGTTTTCCGACTCAACCTCAATGATTCTCATCTCTTAGGTTTGCTTCCACCTGTAATCTCAAATCTCACACAGCTTCGAGTGCTAGAGCTTGTAAACAACAATTTTTTTGGCATCATCCCATCTGAATTTTCCTCCCTCAGGAAACTTGTTCATTTGAAACTCAGTAGCAACAATTTGCATGGTCAAATACCACATTCCTTCTCTTTACTTTCCAATCTTGCATTGATTTTTCTTGACGCAAATAACTTAAATGGAACGATCCCACCAGCTCTCTTTTCCAACTGTACAGTCCTGAATAATGTAGATTTCTCCCAAAATTTCCTCATAGGTAAGATTCCAGCAGAAATCGGGAAATGTCCATATTTGTGGAATCTTAACTTGTACAACAACCAACTCATTGGAGAAATCCCTGCATCTTTAGCCAATTCATCAGGTATGTTGAATTTGGATGTGGAGAACAACAGCCTTTCTGGTGAACTGCCTTCAGAAACAATATCAAAGCTAAACAAGATGTGGTACCTTCATTTATCATACAATCACATAGTGAGCCATGACAACAACACTAACCTAGAGCCATTTTTTACTGCTGTGGCAAACTGCAGTGGCTTAGTGGAGCTGGAATTGGCTGCTATGGGTCTTGGAGGCAGATTGCCTAGTTCCATTGGACTACTGAGTGAAATACTGGATCACCTGTTACTACAAGAAAACCAGATAAGTGGATCAATTCCTCCTGAGGTGCGAAATCTTTCCACCATTAAAATACTGAATTTGACATCCAATCGTTTAAATGGAACCATTCCAGCTGAAATAGGTGAATTGTCATATTTGGTACAGCTTTGTTTGTCTCATAACTTCTTGACCGGTGAGATTCCAGCTTCTATAGGACAGATGTCTAGTCTTGGTCTGATGGATCTATCTAATAACAGATTATCTGGTCAGATTTCTAAAGAATTTGGAAATCTATCCAGGATAAACTATCTATTCCTCAACGACAATCATCTTTCTGGAAAAATACCTCCGGCCTTAGGGAGATGCGTGTCTCTGTACAAGCTAGACCTGTCCTATAACAGATTGACAGGAAGCATCCCTCCAGAAATATCCGGAATGCGTGAAATCCGAATATTTCTGAATCTATCACATAACCAGCTTGAAGGGCCGTTGCCAGTCGAACTAAGCAAACTGGAGAGTGTTCAAGAGATTGATTTTTCGTCTAATAACCTTAGCGGGAGTATCTTTTATCAAATTTCTAGTTGTGCTGAATTGCGGGTGATAAATTTCTCCAACAATTCTCTTCAAGGGCATCTTCCAGAATCATTAGGAGATCTTAAAAGCCTTGAATTTTTTGATGTTTCAAGAAACAAGTTATCCGGAATAATCCCAGATAGCTTGAACAAAAGCCATACTCTGACGTTCCTGAATCTTTCATTCAACAACTTTGCTGGAATGATTCCCACTGGTGGCATCTTCGATTCCATCACAAAGTTATCATTCTTGGGCAACCAGCAGATTTGTGGGTCTGTTCCTGGCGTACCAGTTTGCCACAGAAAGCAACACTATTTCCACTCCCCTCTTTTCCTGGCTATCTTTTGTATTGTCATACTCATATCAGGTTTCTCGACAATCTGTTGTTGCGTGATTGGATGCCAGCGCCTAAAAGTTATTGTTTCCACCAGCCGGGATGGAAAAGAGAGAAAATTGCCACAAGACTTGACCCACAATTTTCCAAGAATAACCTATAAAGAACTTTCAGTGGCCACAGGAGGATTTGATGAGCAGAGACTAATTGGATCAGGCAGCTATGGGCGAGTGTATAAAGGAGATCTTCCAGATGGAACACAAATAGCAGTCAAGGTTCTACATCTGCAAACTGGAAATTCCACTAAGAGTTTCAACAGAGAATGCCAAGTGTTAAAGAGGATTCGTCACAGAAATCTAATAAGAATTATTACAGCTTGTAGCTTGCCAGAGTTTAAGGCCCTTGTTCTTCCCTATATGGTAAATGGGAGCTTAGACAGCCGTCTTTATCCACATGCAGATAATGGCCTAAGGTTAGGCTCCTCGGATTTGAGCCTAATACAGAGGGTGAACATTTGTAGTGACATTGCAGAAGGGATGGCTTACTTGCATCACCATTCTCCAGTTAAAGTCATACATTGTGATCTAAAGCCAAGCAATGTTCTTCTGAATGATGATATGACAGCTTTAGTCTCTGATTTTGGGATAGCAAGACTGGTCATGACTGTCGGAGGAGGAAATGGGGGGATAATCGATAATATGGGGAATTCGACTGCGAATATGCTGTGTGGATCTATTGGATACATTGCACCAGGTAAGGTTTTCTCTTTTGCTTTTCATATGCATAATTAAGGACGAATAAAATTAGAAAAAAAATGGTATGTTGAGAGATGAAAATGAAGCAGCATAAATGCTTCAACTATAATAAACATTGAAGCTCTAAATACAAAAGAATTATATTGGATCCAACAACTAATGACAAGTTGAGCAATCGCATGCATATATCTATATTTTATTGAAAAGTTTATGCATAAAACTCCTTTTGTTGCTGATTCCTGTTATTACCTTGAAGAGTATGGGTTTGGATCAAGCACATCCACAAAGGGGGACGTTTATAGCTTCGGTGTTCTGGTTCTCGAGATGGTGACTAGAAAGAGGCCAACAGATGACATGTTTTCCGGAGGGCTAAACCTGCACAGATACGTCAAAAGCCAATACCACAAGCAAATAGAAAATGTTGTTGACTCTTCTTTACTGAGATCCTTGAAAGATCAATTCCCTGAGGTAAAGAAAATGTGGGAAGTCGCAATTGGACAATTAACTGAGTTGGGAATTATCTGCACACAGGATTCAGCTTCTACAAGGCCTACAATGCTTGATTGTGCGGATGACTTGGATCGTCTCAAGAGATACCTGTCAGGGGACACCACAGCAACATTGGCGACATCCCCTGGAATATCATCTTCAACGTTCAGTGATGATTAGCAATATATGGAGATCCATCTGAATGCTTTTGGGATTCTAATTGCAGCATACCATTGAGTTTCAAGAAGTTGAGCTCTTTTACTAAGAAATCCTTTGACTAGCAAAATTAGTTGATTGAAGTACAAATATAAATCGTGAAAAAATAATATATTTTGAAACTTCTCCTCTTTATTCTTCCACCGCTGTTGCTCTCTTTACCAGGCCAATTTTACTTGCATCGTTACTCATGATAACAATAGAGCTGTATTAACAAATGACTAGGTTCTCAATTATCAAATCTCAAATGTATGCTAACGGGGCAGATAAAGTAGAAGATCAAATCATATACTCATATCAAATTACCCAGTTTACGAGTCGAAATCTGGCTTCATAAAGTCAGAATGGAAAAACAGGCACTGAAGCTTTCTGAATAGTAACATGTTTTCATTCAAGGAAAAACAAGCAAAAAGCTCATTAGTTTTACTCTTGGGATTATTAACTGTAAGATATGAGATCATATTGTACAGAAGATAGTGACTCGTGTCACAATAAAATCATCCTGATAGATGACAATTTGCTTACTTTATAGAGAAGCTTGTGCAATAAGATCATTTAAACTTATGGACTAAAAAAGTATTCCTACAGGCTACAAGTGTTTGTAAAGCTCTCCCCCACCCCACCCCACCCCACCCCATTCCATTTATTTCGAAAGAATAATGCTATTTATCATCATGAATCATCGATGATGTGACAATCTTTATGGAATAATGCGATTCAACAATTCAATTTATATGAGAGAGGGGGAGGAAGGAGAGAGAGAAATGTGAGGGATGATGGGTTATCACTTCATCGATGATTTATTATCGTGATGATAAATAATATTACTCATTTGAAAAGTGGGAGAACCTAACATTAATTCATATCATAGACCTAAAAGAGTATGATGGAGATTAAACTCCAGTCAAGCAAACAAGCAAATAAATATTGATTGATGTACTGTCTACAACTCAATTATCGCTTTTGCCTTTCAATAAAAATGAGATTCACCTGCCATATCTTTTCAAGTGTTCAATATAATTTTACCTTATCCAAGAACAACACACTATTCTTTGTAAGTTGCATCCTACACCAGTCTGCCAAGGTTTCAACTGTAAAGTGAATAACAATCGTTCTTAGTGCGCTGAACAGCTAGTTATCTGCAACCGGTGCAGCATTACAGCCAATATAACAATATAAAAACTTAAGAATTGTAAAAGTCCTTCGTAAAATAACTGGCATAAATCAATCCACAGAGTTTTTTTCTTTTTTTCCTCTAGGGCAATTCCACAAACACCTTCGCTACAAAATAAAATTGTTAGAACCAGCCTCCCAGAGCAATTCTGAGAGACGATCTCTCGGTTACCTCCCCATAAAAATCTGCAAGCAAATTTTCAGCATTTTCCCTGCTGTAGTCAAGTCTATTTTCATAGGACGAAAAAATATTTAGCCTAACGATTAAAATTATATTTTTAAATAGATTTTAATAAAAATTGATGAAAAATACGATTGAAAATGTATGAATTTCAATTAAAACTTTCATTTATATTAAAAAATTTATTTTTATTTTTATGCAGCAGGGACTTAAAATTTTCTACCCCATAATCCCCGGAGTTTTCCCTTCATTTTCATGTCAAATAAAACAATTACAGAGAATTTATCCACTTTGGTAATTTTGGGTACGAATTTCCTTTTCAAGATCTCGATGAGGAAGAGGAGCAAAATTTAAATTTGTATTTATTTTTGTGAAAGCATTTAAAATGTTTTTCAAGATATTATTTGGAAGGAACTTCTATAAATTTAGTTAAATATTAATTTTAATTACACATTTATAACTAATACTTACTAATGTTCACATGAGACTTACTATTATATCACTTACCATTCGTCTTTATAAAACATTTGCAAATTTGCCTAAAAAAGGCTGGCACTTTCAAATTTGTTTCTAGTCATTTATGCAGCAAGTTTTATGGGGAAAAAAAAAAAGGCAATTTGATTATTATATACAAAAATTATTGTGGTCCACTTGAATATCACGTCAATCAAAAAATGATTATTCTAGTGGTACATCACCACTTACATAAGGGTGTCAATTAATACAAAAATTATTGTGGTCCACTTGAATATCACGTCAATCAAAAAAGGATTATTCTAGTGGTACATCACCACTTACAAAAGGGTGTCCATAATGGACACCCCGATGTACCTCTATCATCTCCCATCAAAAAAAGCGATCTATTGCATGCCTACGTGTCTTAAAATGAACATTTAAGTTTTTATCGCCTACACTCGGTGAACAAAATAATGTCTTAGTTGTCAAGGTTCTCCTCAACAAAGGAATCTATGGAATTTTAATATTTGATTAGAAACATGATTAAAGACATCGGATAACATCAAACATGAATGAGACATCTCCGTGCGAATTCTGATAAATAACTTTGATATTAGGGTCCGTTTGATTGTAAAAATTGAATTTGAGTGAAAAAAAAAATGAATTTCAGAGAATTGAATTGTTTAGAATTTGTTTTATTGGGAATTGTCAATTAATTGTATTTTTTATTGGTATAATTTTTCATCTGAAAATATTGAAATTTTGGATCTTTTGGTGTTCGTTTGGCTTTTTTTTTCATGAAAATTATTCATTAAAGGAATATAATTTTTTACAATTGAGGATATAATTTATTTCAATTGCAAAAAAAAAAAATGCCTAGAAAATCAAAAACTACCAAACCCATGAGAAAACCAATTCAAGGAAAATGTGAAAAATGGAGTCACGTGAGACATGAGTTGGAAAATCAATTGTCTAGAAATTTTTTTCTATCCAACAGCCTCCATGAAAAATTCTTCCTATCACACAGGGCCTTAGTGCATCTTGCCTTTTCACGTAGGAACACAAGTAAAAAAAATATATATGAAAATCAATAAACTTTGAAAATGAAAATTTAATCATGAATTCTAACAAAATGATGAAAATGATCAAGTCATAAAATAACTAAAATGCCCTTATAAATTTCCTATAATTATGACATTACACGACTAAAGAATGAGACTTTTGATCAAGGATTAAACTAGAAGTACTACATGGGCCCCACATCCGACCCTCCAATAGGGCGTCGCCACCTGACGATATAGTCATCCATGTAGTCATCCATGTAGTGCATGTAGCATCACCCTTTGATCAATCTCTCTCTCTCTCTCTCAAATACCAACAAAATACAGAAAAATCCTAAGAGGAAAAACATTTTGAGAAATCAAAAGAGAAAATACATACTTGACTTTAAATAATACAATTTATTTTTGAGGTCAATAGTTATGCATGGTATGTTGAAAATCATTCCAAGCCCACTAAGGTATAATCACATGTTAGGAAAAAAATGCTAAAGACAATGAGTGAAAGTGAATCAAACAATGATGATAATGCGAGAACGAGTATGAATGAAAGTTATGTTTCAACAGGAAACACTCGATGAAGAAGAAGCTAAAGGTTATCAAGATTGGTTACAAAGTTTACTCAAACGGTAGCTAACATGGCTGCCATCATACAACATTTTGCCAATGAGGACATCGTCATGAGGAGTTTTATCAGTTGGTCGCCTGGAATTACTTATTTGAGACGGAGGAACAAATGGTAGCACGGCCCCTGCAGGATGTCCTCAGCATTCACTCACTGTGGACAGTTTCAGAAGCATATCAGCATGCACTTGCTATTAGAAAAATGGTAGAACTGGAGGCCAGTGATCAAGAACGATCAGAACAATCAACCAGTTCTCCGTCAGGGTTACTGATTGCAGGAAGCCCGCTAGTCAAAAGGGGAAAAATTTGTTGATTGAGGAGGACGTGGTGATGAGACTGATGAGATTGGGGAGGCTGTATCTGACGATGATGACATTGATGATGTGCTGTATGGAGATGGCCATGAAACTTTGGTCGTTCGCAAGAGTTTATTGACTCCCAAGGGCAATTCAGGAGACGATTGGTTGAGAACTAATATTTTTCACACGACCTGCACAGTTGCTGATAAAGTCTGTAAAATTATCATTAATAGTGGTGTTGTGAGAATGTAGTGTCCAAGGAGGTTGTCCAGAAATTATAGCTGAAAATTGATCGTCATCCCAAACCATACAAGTTGTTGTAGCTGAATAAGGGCAATGAGGTGACAGTAGATAGGCGATGTCTCGTATCTTTTTCAATTGATAGCAAATATTTTGATAATGCTTGGTATGATGTTGTGTAAATGGATGCATGTCATGTATTGTTGGGTCAACCTTGGCAGTATGATCGCAGCGTTATCTATGATGGATGAAAGAATACATACTCCCTTAGCATCAATGAGAAAATGATTGTGTTGGCACCCCGGCGTGAAAGGCCATCTCCTACTCTGGTAGTCAACAACACTAATCTACTTTCTATGTTCAGGTTTTTAGGAGAGGTTGAGCATGGGGATGCGGTATATGCTCTACTGCGTTACGGGAATAGTGCAGTGATGTTAGTGGAGTCTGAGTTACTAGCAGAGTTGCAGCAACTACTAGCAGAATTCGCGACCTTATGCTAGAGGACCTTCCTCCTGGCCTACTGCCTATGAGGGATATTCAGCATCAGATTGATCTTGTTCCAGGATCAAACTTGCTTAATGCAGCAAAAGACATGCAATTCTTTCTTTCCAAGAAAATGGAGGCAAGAGCAGAGCCAATGGCTCAAAGCAAAAGACCGGGCGCATCACATTACTCCCACCATGCAGTTGACCTGTCTATTGATCCACCAAATATGGAAGGGCAGGCATCACATCGTGAACGAGAGCCTTCTGGATGAGCCAAAAGTGGTATAATAAACTTGCACCTCATAGCGTACACAATTGGCCCAACCTAAGGAACCAATTCATCCACATGTTCACAGGAGAACCCGCAGCTCGACCCCAACTAAAGGATCCATGATACGAGGTAAGGCCTCGAAAAGCCTTTTAAGAGCTATCTCAGTCGTTTCACTCA